ACAGTAGAATAAAGGAAAATGACGGGGGTCCCGGTAGTGAGGCCTTCGGCTGCGTCTCTAGTCCGCGAGTCCGGAGTGTCCGTGTCCATTGGAAGTGAACGCAATATACATTAACCCCGAGTCTCACCCCCCATCAGACAGGGTGGTGTGAAAGAGGAACACACCGCCCACTGCAGGCTGATGGAAGGGAGCTCTTGTTCGCTTTCGCTGGCCTTAGAGTTCCAAGTGCGATGCACAACTCTACGTGACAATTTCAGATGTGCCTGTCCAGTGGTTGAACGGGTCAGCCTAGCAGAGGTAATGCCAGGAATGCAGAGCAACAGTTGAACTTCTAGACCTGTTGGTGTAGTTGTGAGATACAAACTTAGTAGTGAATCAAGCGCTGCAGATAGATATTTAAGAAAGATCTCGAGTTTGTTACTTTCAATACAAGTTTGTTATTACATGAAAATAGAAAGTCATCACTCGCGTGCTTTAAAAAAAATATTAAAGGGACAAATACCCCTTTTTTTTAAGACCACGGGTTTGCCGACGTGTTATTTGTCGGCCACCTGATGTACACGTACACTATTGGGGGGAAAAATGAATAGGTCATCGAAGTCGAGACTTTTACCGTTATGTTTATAGATAGCAGGATGAACAAAAAATGTAAAAGAATAAAAAAAAGTAAAGTTCCCCTTTCAGACCTTGTGGTCTTTAGGGCAGATGATCTGTTTCTGTGGCCTACGGTTAACAAGGGTGTCATGCGGCCAGCACAACTCAGAGGCGCCCAAAGATCCCGAAATTAAAAATCCTAGTCTTCACCAGGATTCGAAGCCAAGCGCTTTACCGCTCAGCCACCGCGCCTCCAAACAAAAAAATTTAATTTGGGAAAATTATAATGAACAAATAAGTCTTTTGTAAAATTCAATTTTTCTTGTCATGTTACTCTATCGGCGGAAAGGGGGGGGGGCGAGTTTTGTTACCATTTGTTATAAGGAGTGGAGTGTATTTTTTTCTCCACACACACACACACATGTTCTCGACAACAAAAATGAAAATATCAATGTGATTTTATTAATTAACTTTTAAAGTATTGCGGCGTTCAAAATTCGAATCTATCAAAATCGGTTCTTAAAGAGCATCTAAGAATCCTTTTTCGTTCCTAATAATGAGTTGAATAAAGTTTAATCGACTCCGGAACTTTATCTGTGAATGGACTTCTGGCAAGTGTGATTTTACATGGATGGCTGCCTGGTCGGGAGGTTTGCGCGCTGGACTGTCGTTTAGATTTTTCGATGGTCGAGGGTTCAAATCCTGCCCGCTCCCATCTTCCACTCTGAAGGAACATCCGAAACATGTCAAACATTTTACAAACAAACAAGTGCAAATGGGATGTGATGTAGATGTTTTAAAGTACGATGCATTTCGTCAGCACGCATGCGCAAACGTTCATTAACAGAAATGTTCATTAAATCACGTTTGTCAAGTTCAATGCCATTCCCAGAAAGCAGTAAGGTTGGATACAGGTACATTTTATTTTCCTCCAATTTTGTTTGCCAAAGCCAAAGTTTCATTTGGAAATATCAAATTTGTTTTAGTCAAATCGAGGCATTCAGCATTACATCCTCGCTTTCACAAACTTGACAGAAATAACAACTTCTGGTATTGCTGATATTTTTGATGCAGTCAGTTCCGATGACTTCTGGTGACGATGAAATCCAGACCGCCATCCTAGAAGTCAATGCTTCTCAAAGTCGTGTACGGTGACCCCAGGGGTACGTAAAGAGTTTGAAGGGGGTACGTGACGCACCTCATTAAGTATGCTGATTTTTTAAAAATACGCATTAATTATGTCCAGTTAATAAATTAAAACTACTAATAAATAAGATTTCAATTACATTTGTATTATTACAAATTATTTCAAGAAATGAATAAGATGTTACGACTTCCGCCAAAACGTCCCCCTTTTTCTACGCGAATAAGATGTTCTTTGGAGCTTATTTGCCAAATGGGCAAACAATAGGAATACAAAATAAACCCACTCATTGAATACTTTAGTCATTAGTGTAAGACAGGGTTAATCCATTTGGGAAGGAGGGGGCGAGGGGTACTCATTGTTACGAATATTATAGAAGGGATAGTCTATATATATATATATGTCAAAAGTTAGGGAAACACTTTACTCGGTGCACCCTCTGTACAGACACCACAAGTATTTTTCAAAGAAAATCTTTTATACTTTTCCAGAAATCAACTTTGTCAAATATGTCCCCTACTGTAGTTGTCGTTTCGAGAGGATGGCTAAAGAGAGATATTCTTTAAAAAATCGCCATCATTGAAATACCTTACGTAAATTATGTTTCATATTTATACTACGACAATTAAAATCTTTGAACTCATTCTGATGCTGTTGTCTGCAATACATATACTGGAATAACAATTAGAGGCCTAGTAAAAAAAAAGTAACTGCTAATCGAAAATCTTTTTATAATATCAAAATTTATGTTCAATTAAAATCTGATCTGATCGTCATTGGAAGAAAAAAAAAGACCAGTACGAGTTCAAACCCAGGATATTGGCGTAATAAGAACGACGCTCTATCAAATTCGCTGCCAGTTTCAGGAATCTCCCTTGTATAACTTTCTCATTCCATACCTGAAGAGAGTTTAAGCTACTAGATAATTAGAAAGCATCAAATTAAAAAAAAAAAGAAGGGGCGGGCTTGAATGTAACTGAGTGACTTCCCTTAGAAGGAGTACATAATTGTTTTTTTGGCATGATGAACCGAGTATCGACCAACTGTTAGGGCCTACAACTACATTAAGTTAAGAAGCTCTTGTCTACTGAGAAAGAGTAATGAACATTGCAGATGTTTACGTGGCTGTGCTGTCATTTTAAACTTACTTCGTCTATCGCTGACTGTTTTTTTCAAACTCATACTTTCGTGGGTGACCGGGTCATTTCATCCCCAATTAAATATTTTTCTTTTTTCATTGTTTAATTGTGCTGTTAAGGCTTTGACTTTAAGCCCTCATTTCATCTAATATATAAATATGATTATGTAGAATGCTTTTTTTATATTTTTGACATGTTACTAATGCGTTTATAGTGTTTCCTCTTCCACTTTGCATTCTTGATGAGAAATCGTATAATATATTGTAAATCTGGGTGTGTACTTAGCTATAGCCTTCTATTGGATGTGGGGGGGGGGGGTGTAATATTATAATATTATCCTGCGCATGACGTTATGATCAAAGGCCAAGTTTTGGTGGAGGTAGTGAAAATCTTTCGAGAGATAGAAGTGCCATTAGAATAATTATGACCACGCCGCTGATAACTTATCATCAAAGGCCAAATAGTGAAAATCTTTTGAGAGATAGAAGTGCCATTAGAATAATTATGACCATGCCGCTGATAACTTATCATCAAAGGCCAAATAGTGAAAATCATTAGAGAGATAGAAGTGCGATTACAATAATTATAACCGTTCCGCTGATAACCAAAGTGTGGTGGAAGTACCACCATGTTTCACTTCATTTTATTTTTTAATCGCTCTTTCTTGAAATTGGGTGCGTCATTTTTAACCTTGAAATAAGGTTTTAATATTTTTTTAAAATAAAGGCTGACTTTACACATATCAGGATAACACTTTTTTACAATACCTCTATATATATGTAAAATTTTTGTCATTTATAATGGCATTTAATTTTAATTGTATTCTAACGTGTTACACTTTTTGTCATTTAAATAAAAAAATGAATATATTGCTAATTTCAAGATTTTAATAATTACTATTTGTGAGATAAAATGATCAGATGATGAAAATAACGGGATGAAATGACTAGGGGATGAAATGACCGGGGATGAAGTGACCAGGGATGAAATGACCGGGAACCACTTTGGTGCTAGTCCAAATGTGAATCATTTCTTTCAACAAGTTTTAATTCTCCTATCGAGCTGCTACTTCGCCCATAAACTCACGCAGCGTGACAACACAATTCAATAACATTTCAAAAAGATCACTCCATTAATTATTGAATTAAATTTTTAAAAAAATATCTGTTAAAGCCCAGTGTTCCATCTATAGGACTCAAGGAGAACTTGCAATTACATTTTTCTTATTATTGAGTATCAGTACGCTCACTATAACACACAAGACATTGGGGTGTTCTGATATTTATAGGGATTAGAATTGTTACAAAAATATACTCCATAAAATATTAAGGTTTCGTTGACTTTATTATTGGAAGATGGAGTTCGAATTGATATATAGCTTGTTACAGTTTACATCCGGTTTCAGATGCACTGTAGTGTACGTTATTTTACAATCACTAACAATACATGGAATTGATCAATAGGACAGAGGTCAATATGTGGCATTAAATAAATGGGCTAGGATGCTTTAACAGAGGTGGGGGGAGGGGGAATACGAGGGGGCCCGTGATAAAAAAACAACTAAAACAAGCGAAATTTAAAAATACTTTAAAAAAAAAGCAACAACAAAGCTTATATTATGTATATCAATTAGTTTGGATCAGTCATGTTATTGAATTTGTAATAGATCTAAACTAACAATAATATATCTGAGTGATTAGAAATAGTTTTACCAATCGTTTTTTGTTTAGCCAATTTCATGATTTTAGCTTTCTCAATACACTATGATTCTATCACATGTCTGGACCAGTTGGAAAGGGGTATCTGGGTAATCACTTTTTAAATGTATTTTTTTAAAAAAAAGGGGAAGAACTTGGACTTGAGGGTCTAGCAAAGAGTCTATGAACATGGAGGATTGTATAGTTGTCTATAAATATTTCATATTTATGTTCACTAAGCCTCAGACGCCAGACTAATATAAAGGGAACTAATTCAGCTTATACCACCATTTCAGTCAAGTACTAATAACGTGTACAAACGTTTGGCCAGACAGACAGTCAGAGTGAGTTGACAAAAGCTTAGTTACAAAAAATCTAATATCGTGAGTTGCAGATGGATACAAGCAAGCTAGGGGAAAGAAAAAAAAAACAAGACATTTTTAAATTAACCTGTGTATTCAACATTTTTATTACATTATTTACACATTGTTAGTTAATTAAAGTAGACACCAATAAGGATAAATAGAAGTGTCATCCTTTCAAGATCGTGAAAACAAAACTAGATGTAATAACAACAAAATATTCTGGACGTAAATTAATAAGATCACAGTGTTGACATACTGACTGCATGTAGAGAGCTCATGGGAACATTCACAATTGTCACTACTCTAAATCAACATTTCTTTAAAGGAGTAATGGGAGTTTCACTGGTGCGCTTGGCCTTCGCGTCCTGAAAGCGAGCTGAAAGTAGACTTACATTGTAAGTCCTCATACTTTGTTAAACAACATAATAAAACACAGACACACTTTGTATTCACAGACTTCAGTTGTCTGCTTCATTTCCATTGAGATTGTACACACACATGTCAATACAAAATCAATACAATTATTTTCTTCTTTCTAGATGAGTACAATCAAGAAGCTCACAAAATGTTCCGAGTCTAGATTTAAAACTAAACTGATTACTTAGAGTTTAAAGAGACTAATTTTTTTTCTTGATAATACTGACCCTACCCCCCCCCCTCAAATCCTTTTACAAACGCCCCCCCTCCCCAACAGTGGTTCAGATTCATTTTTGTTTTAACACACAAGGTTTTGAGGAGGGCAGAGGGAGTGTTGTGGCAAAATGAGGTTTTTGAGGCAGGAGGGGAGAAAAAAAAAGGGGGGGGGGGGCGATTTCTGACATTTGCACCCCTTTGCCAGCTAAGCCTATACCATTCCATTTCTTTTGAAAATTCTGATGTCCACCTCCTCCTTACCCCCAACCCACCTTCACTAAAACACATATGCACTGCTCTTTTCCGGGGCGGTACAACAATGTCAAGGATTTGGTACTGAGAGAAATATGATATTAGCATGATAAGAGATCAACTTTGATCTTTGTTTGTACTGACAAAAGTGGGATCACGAGAGAAAGGCATGCTGGGATTAGTACTCTAATGTTCTACTCTAACAGAAGAGCTGTGCCCCTTGCACGTAGAGCGTGGTAAAACAACAAGATAGACGAAGCCAACACTTAGACAAAAAGACATTTTTAAAAAGTATATAACTAGATTTACAAGAAAGATCATTATTGTTACTGAAGAGGTCTTAAACCGGAATGTCTATAACGCTGGTGTTTAGGCACAAGTTAGGCCAAATGTTTGAAGTTAGACCAAATGTTTGAAGTTGTACACAACTGCTTGTAAGACTAAAGTTACAATAAAGAAAAATGTTCTTTTAGCTGCTTCAACAGTTCCTTGGAGTCCACATGGTCAGGGAAGGTCTCCACGGCTCTCTTGGCCGACAGGTAACTACTTTGGAAGTCCCCCAGCTGGAGAAGAAAATAAGCATTGATAAGTAAATTCAATAATAATCGTGTTTACAACCAAGAAAAAAATATAATCAAATAATTGCAATGATTTCACTACATTAACATAAAAAGAGAAACAGTCAAATACTTGCACTGAATTCACAAGAACTTTATACATAGAAAAACATAGTCAACTGCTTGCACTAATATCCACTATATTTCCCCATCTCTTTCGTGCGCAAAGTAAAAAAAAAAAAGTTTATTTATTTGCAACTATAGATAAAGAATTGTCTGAGCCATATGTCTTCAAGATACCCACACCGGTGACACGATACTTTTGAGACAGAATGTCACGATTTCATAGTTAACGTTACGATGAGATTGTGTTGAACAGGCAATGCGTTTCTGATTTTGTATGATTCTCTCTATTAAATCATTTCAGACTTCTCAAACAATCGCGTGATGCCGGAGATACTACTTCAAAGTATAAACTCAAAAACTGAAATATTCTTTCAAATAAATATAAAGCTTTTATTCTGGAGCTTGAAATCACTTTAATAATATACACACTACATAAGTATACAATTCAATTTAAATTCATTTACTCTAGTCGCAGATCTCTCTCGAAACTGAATATGCAAGTCTTTACTACCTCTGGTACAAACTGGTATCATCTAAACTATTTTTAAAGCTTATAGAAAAACCTTCACCGTTTTAAATAAAATTGTCATTACTTGTCAACAACATACAACCATGACCTTGCACTGCAAATATTCAATCTAAAAATAAACTTAGTGCAATAGCTGCTGTATGTTACGTGATAATAGGTCTCTCGTTATTACCCCTCCCCGACCAAAAAAAAAAACATGGGGAATTTGGTGAACCAACGGCACCCTTTTAATGTTTCGTGCCTCCCCTTGAGGGTACATCATGATTCCTCACGACGCCGCCTTACATAAGTCCACCCTGCAAGCCCGACAATAATGTAATAATGTATTCAATCCAATAGGATGGCGCCAGATTCCCATGTTGATTGTAGTACATTGTCTAGGTTCCATTAAAGTAGATGAAAATAAGGTCCGAAATAGAAGGTGGGAACGGAAGACAGTGTCGGGGACACGGCGCCACAATCCGCATCAATGGTAACAAAATCCTTTCATTTTTCACTCCTTGACTGAGCACCCGTCGTCGTGGCGCATCTCTCTCGCGCCTCTGGTGAATGGCAAACTAATCTGCTGATAGCGAGGGTGGAGATAGATGAAACAGGAACAGGGGAGTTGTTTTTACACAGAAACTCGTTGAAGTGTGCGTGTGCGTGAGAGAGAGGGGTGTATATCCTGTTATAGCAATAATAATAAAATACTAATGATAATACAAGATAACATTATTATTTTCCGCTTCTATTTTTTCCCAAATGAAATTCAGTTCAGTAAAGAACCCTGTGACACTGTAAGAATCAAACTCATGAATAAGAGAAAGGCACCGGATACACTTTTGAGTGTACACCTGAAGTGCTAGTAACAAAGTCTAAAGAAGTGTCTGTGACATGTACCGAGATGTGCCAATAACTCACACAGAGGTTTAGTGAACATTAGGGAAGCATTTGATTTCAAAATTACACTTGTTTCACACAAGCAGCGGAGGAGAGGGGTGGGAAAGGGTTGAACCTTTATAGATTTTCATAAAATGGAGGCGAATCCACAAATAGCTAGCTTTTTGATGTATCCAGTGTTCATAATACGGAAGTACTGCTAAGTAACTTACTTTAATTAAAGATACAAACTATTTCTTTTGATTCCTTTTCAGACCTTGCGATCTATGGAGCAGATGATGTTAAGGCCATCTGTTTCTATGGCCAACGGTTAACGAGCAGGGTGTCATGTGGCCAGAACAGCGAACAACCGCCTTTACTTTCCACAACTTAAGTCAGGTATCCATTAAGAGTTGGATGGACTCAGGAGCGCCCTAAAAAGTACCGAAATTGAAAATCCCAGTCTTCCCCGAGATTCGAACCCAGGACCCCAGGTTCGGAAACCAAGCACTTAAATACTCAGCTACCACGCCCCACATACAACTTAGTAAGATATTATAATATTTGTGCACCTTTTGGGACTATCAAATAAAATTTCGAAGCTCATTCGGTAGTAGAACAAAGCAATTTTAAGTTGGCAACAGTGATCTTTCAATATGGCGCCCTTGACATTGTTTATTTTGACTCATCATTATCTGTCCCCTGTCTTTCGTCGGAGGGGGTGCTCTGACAGATCGCGAAGCCAAATTCCTCCTCTTCCCGGTCAGCAGCTCTTCTTAGCAGAATATACCAAGCAGTATATCAAGAGATAGGTATAACACTATGGTTTGGTTATCAGCACGAGATATATGAAATATGTTGTTTGAACGTGAAATAGGGGACTTCACATTGGCAATCACGTGGTACCATTTTTGTTGGTCACATGATGAGAAGAAACCGCATGCTCAGTAAGAGTCTGCGCCATGTTCGGAGAAGAGAGACGTGTTAAGTCTGTGGTTTAGAATGTTTCATATTGTGTATTCATATTGGAATTGTAAATGTTTGTGAAATATATGAACTTATTCATGTTATTGATGGCTGAGATTGCCTACTTGTAAACTATTATTTTATTCAATAAATGTAAGTCTGCAACATTGGAGACAGTGCTATTTTATGTGTCTTGTGGTTGAAGTACACAGCAAGCTTAAGAATTCACTACAAAGTCATGAAGATATAAGTGTTCAATTAATAAGACAAGAACTATACATCAATACCACGAGAGGTATTAACAACACACTAATCCTGTTACACCAGTAGTATTTGGATGTTACATTCTGGTGGCCTGTTTGATACGAGATTCACGACATGCGCAACAAAGAAATATCAAGCACCGGAATATTTAGACCTAGAAAAATTTCAAGATGGCGTCATATTGACATGACGTGTGCTTGGAAGGCTGAGAAATCCAAATTTTCTTTACTGAAGTCCATTCTTTGACACAGTCCAGCCAAGTTTTCTTTACTGAAGTCCATTCTTTGACACAGTCCAGCCAAATTTTCTTTACTGAAGTCCATTCTTTGACACAGTCCAGCCAAATTTTCTTTACTGAAGTCTATTCTTTGACACAGTCCAGCCAAATTTTCTTTACTGAAGTCCATTCTTTGACACAGTCCAGCCAAATGTTCTTTGGACGACCCTTTCTTCCTGCTCCCTCCACCACTGTACTTTGAAGGATGACTTCCAACAATTAGTGCATCATCTCTCCAAATCATTTTCTTACGTTAATCTTCAGGATCCACTATATCGCCACCACATTTCTTCACATTGCTTTTTCTTCTCTCTTATTGGAGTTTATTGCTTTAAAAAACGTAAACAGGATCTTCAAAATCAAAGAGTAAACAAAGGGGAGATAACTGTGATAAAATGTTTACTCTAAAAATTCTCTCTAGTGGAATGTGCCACAGTCAAAGGTCAAGAACGATGAGAAAGAAAAAAATCAAACGAGACTAAAGAGCAATTGAAGACGAAGTAGGACATTTTTGGTGCCCTGGTCGTCTTGGCGCTAAATGTTTTAGATTCATTATATTTAATGATACTTATCTAATTTTCGCATGAGTTTTTGGGTTTAAACACATTCGTTTTGACTGAAGAGCTAATTTGTAGAGCTCTTTTGATTTTGGCGGTAAGTTTGCTGTGTAATTACTGTATGCCACTTAACATTATACTAAAAAAAAAACACACAAAAAACTTAAAACAAAAATATAATGAATAAAAAATCTATTGTTCTTTCCAAACAAATATGTTTTAACACAAACATGCACGCAAAAAATTAGATATATATCATTCTTTTTAAAGTCAAAGTCAAATGAACATTTAGAATGTTTCTAAAACATTCAGCGCCAAGATGACCAAGTCGCCAAAACGATGTCGTCAAAAAAACGTCGCCAAAACGTTGCGAACCGTTCGCGAAAATGATAAAAAGGCAACGTACAGATAAAATTGTCCCAAATTTGTAGCAAAATGTGTTCACATCGTTGTAGCTATAAACATTTTGTAAATATCTTTGTAGATACAAACAAATTGTGTAAATATCTTTGAAAATATCAGTAAATTGTGCCAGCATCATTGTAGCCATAAACAGATTGTGTCAATATCATAGACATAAATAAATATAGACTGGAAAAAGGAAATAACTTCATGTAACTTTCATTAAACATGTATATCTATTGTTGTCGGATTTCCGAATTCTGAAAAGTTGCACGATCTTCAGTCTTAGAGATTAAACAAAACTACACTGCTGTATAATAAAGTACACAAAATTGCAAATCACAAATTTTCGTTTCATAAAACTCTTATATCGGTCAGTCTATATTTATTTATGTCTATGGTCAATATCTTAGCAAATACGAAAAAGGGTGTCTGTATAGCTGCAAAAAAAAAATTGTGTCAATATCTTTGCAGATGCAAACAAATTGTGGCAGTAGCACTGAACTTCCGAACAAAATAGTGTCAAGATCTTGATGGGACATTCAAGAGTCGTCTAAAAGAGTGAGGTGTTCGGACCCCATTTGTAACACAGTCTGACGCTGTTTGTATTAAACGTCGGGGCCGTTTGTCTGTGCCATGTAGAACACTTCTCCCCTGTACCGTCTCTGTCATGCCAGTGACATGTGACATTCATTAAAGTCAGCTCCGTCACGGGGTGGGGTGTAGTACAGAAAGTGTAATGGAATAATTACACGTAGAAACGTCAGTGTTTTGTATTGTGTCACTCGCACGAGACCTGGTAGTTTTTGTCTGGGTTTTTAGGTTCATTTGTCTGTGTTTTCTTTTTGTAAGGGAAGATTAATGCAATGCGGACAATGTGGGTTAAGTGAGTAGAATAAACCAAC